CAAGTGGATATTTTTTCCTATGAAAAAAATGGCAGGATAAATTTTTCATAATTTCTCCTTTTCTTTTATACCTTTAAACGAGTATCTGAGAGTGGAACTTTTTTTTAAAGGCTTATCCAGTCCAAATACCTCTCTTTCACCTGCCATCACAATGCCTAGACACCAGTTAACTTGATTGTTATTACCCCTGCAGTGATGATCTCAGCACAAAAATCAGCAGGTGAAATGAAGCCAGACAGTTCTCCTGATTTACCTCCAACATATAAAGAAATTAAAAGTCCTGCCATGCGTTTTTTTTGTTTGTTTTTTTTTTTGAGGAAGATCAGCCCTGAGCTAACATCCATGCCAATCCTCCTCTTTTTGGTGAGGAAGACCGCCTGCCATGCTTTTGAATGAGCCTTTTCTAAAGGAGTTTCTCAGTTGAGTGTTGTACTTTGATCTGGTTTCAGCAGTTAGTCCCCGAGGATGTGAGCAGTTATTTTTCCGTTAGTGCTAGTGCCTTCAGTAGACGCATCTCCAAGCACGGCCCCACTTGCTGAGCTCCCTTGGCCCCAGCCGGGGGGAACTAAAGGCAAGAAGACCAACTAAACAGAAGAGCAGAGTTCTGGTGTTCAAAGCTCTTATCTCATTCCTTAATTCTGCAAATATTTACTAAGCACCTACTCTGTGCAGGCTCCAAGTTAGACATATGGGGTACATGGTTGGCAGACATTGTCTTTGCCTTCCCAGAGTTCAAGGCTGTTCCTGGGAGGTAGGGAGAGCATGTGTTATTAATATTCCCATTATGAGACAAGGAAACAGAGGCAAGAGACAGACACAGCTCTGGAACCGGACGGGAGCCCCTCTCTCCTCTCCTGAGGAGAGGTTCACTGTACTCGATGGCTCTCAAACTTTTACTAATTCGACAAAGGACCTTTAAGAAGGCATTCACCTACCCACGGGCTTCTGCTCCCCATCTTTAAAATTGGGAAATGATTTGTGTCCTCTTTCCTGCCTTCGAAGGAACAGCACATTTCTTCACACAACTTTAATCTATTTTAATTATGAATACTAATAATAAATTGGCTTTAAGAAATAATTTGCTGAAGTCTTTAATCCATCTTTCCCTGGAGTTGGGTAAATGAAAACAAAGACTATAAAAAAAAGTTTTTTCATACAAAATGATCAGATACCCAGGAATTCAGATAAGGATGCTAGATCTGGATCCTTCCTCAAGGAACTCTAAGTTCACTGGCCTTTCACATGCGAATCCTTTTCAAAAAAGTGGAGTCCAGAGAGAAAGGTTGTTTTCCTGAGAGCATTTTCTTATTCCCTCACTCATTTCAGCTGTTAGCAGCAGCTGGTTCCTTTCCAGTGCTGAAATGCCGGCTGCCTAGTAAACATTCTCTGTAATACCTCGCATTACTCATAGTTTGAAAATCACTTTGACTCCTGAAACGTAATTATGTTAATGTCAGATGAGTCAGCAGGAGGACAGCATGCTGGTCCTATGGCAGCCGCACCCCCTGCCAGCCTCTCAAGCTTCAGAGCCCGGGGCTTCGAAAATAAAAAAAATTCAAAAAGAGAGAAACCCCCTTTTGGTGGGAGTGAAGAGAAATTATGCTTATGGCTCAAAGAACAGCTTCAAAGGAGTCAATTTCATTTTCGCTGCAACATGAAAGGGAGAGTCGAAGTAAAATCGCCAACCCTAGGTTAATCCATTTACATGAAGAATAAACAGGAATTTGGCGAGTTTCTCTGGAGGATCTGTGATTTTTCTGGAAGGGATGAGTTGAGACGGGTCAATATACAGTTGTGATCTGTTATCTCCAGGGCTCCCCCTCAGAGGTGTTTTCACACCGTGGGGGTGATGCTGAGCAGCCCCGGAGGTGCAAGGCTCAGGACTATTACCCTGAGGCATCCATGGGAGCTAGGAGGCTGCTCATTTGCAGGGGGATTCCAGACCCCGGTGGGGCTCCCCACGCCCCTCTTCGCTTTGGCGCTGTGCCCACTCAGGCTGCAGGTCCTCTCAGACAAGAGTTTGCAGCCACTCTCTTGGGCTGTTTTCAGCATCATTTACAATCTCTCAACTGTTTCCCCTTGCTGAGCTGCTGGGAAATGACGGAGGAACCGAGCAGGACAGGGTTGGAGGTTTTCATGGCCGGGCTGACCACAACCCCCACCTCCTCACACTCCTAGCCCTGGTCACAGTCCAAACTGCCAGTAAGCCCAACCATCAGGTCCTCAGCCTGCTTCCCCGCCCCCCTTCCCTTGGGAACTCAGAATCATTTAAACACATTTACGTAGTGCCTCCCAAAAGGCTTCCAGGTACATTATCTCACCTATGTGTCATAATAACCCTACAAGTGGGAAAACTGAGGTTCAGAAAAGGGGCGTCCGAGTGCAAGGTCGCACAGTGAGTAGCAGAGCCACACACTCAGACCCCAGGCCCTTTCTACTCTGTCCACAACAGAACAGAGATCCACACTTAAAGGATTGAAGCTGCCAGTTAGGGTTGGAAGGACCCCAAATGCACATATTTTCACAGACAAGACGAGGAACCAAAATCTGAAGAGATGCCCAAGGTCACACAGCTGGAAAAGTGGCAGACCCAGCTGCCAAACAAGGTCTCCTAACCCCTGGTCCAGGCCTTTTTCTCTCTCACCTCTTGACTTCCTCTCTCTGGACTTATTCCAGTTTAGACACAGGAAGAGTCAGCTCTCCCCAGTGAACCTCTGCACTTACACCGCCGATACAAAGCATTCTATTTCCAAAGCACAAGGCCCCACAAGAGGTAGAGATGCCAAGGAGGATAATACACTGGAAGAAAGGGGTTTACCAAATCCAGTGGCTTTCCATTATGATATGACTAATCAATACCCCAGATGAACTACAGCACTGATCAGTGGTATCCTCAAACCATGCCTTCATTCAGGCTAAGTTCAAAGGCTGAGACAACATCATTGCCTCAGTGGGGTGCTGATCTGCCCCACGAATGTCATGTAACCTGTGAGGGGTAAAACGCCTAACCCAACCTGCCAATCCCAATTCGGCAGCAACTTTTCAGTCCCCCTCCTTCGGACCATTTCATTGGGTGCCATACCGACATCAGGTAGCTGGTGCACCAAACTTGTCACTTTTCCACCCCTCTTCAGAGTGGCGCCAACTCTGACCACAGTTAATCTGGCCGTCATGGGTATTCCCCCAGCTAGAGGCTTCCTGACCAAATACTTTTCTCCCTTGACATTTCCCCTGCTTGGCCCCAAAGTCAAAGTAAAGTCAAGACTCACATTTCGGGGTGAGGTGCTGAAAATCCTTAGGAAACTGTGGAACAACCAATTTAGAGGAGCATTTCTCCTCTTATCGTGACTCCTGGCTGGTCCCATCCAATTTATCCTCAAGGCATGATTGGTCAACAAGAGCTGACCCCGCCCCTGCCCCCCAAAGCTGTTACTATATTGAGCGGCAATATGATGTCATATCATAGGTGACTAACCCACCGAGGCTTCTCTGCGAGCCATCATCTAAATATGACAGCCTGCCATCATCCTGACCTTTTCATGGGAGAAAGCTGAGTGAGGGGCTTGACACTGCCTCTCGGGGCTCAAGTCCACATCTGACCTTCTGTGGCCAGCATCTGACTGAGCATGTGAGGACACACATGCCCACTCCCACATGCAGATTCCTTTCCTAGTAGAAGGTCACTTTCACCCCAGACAGCTTTCCTCAACTGGCCAGGCTTTAAAATTAGCAGCCATCAGAATGTTTAATAATTACAGTCATTAGGGAGGAATTGCGGAGGAGGGTTGTGTGTTCTTACCATGTCGTATATCCCAGGTAATGGGTTAGACATTTTACATACAGTTTTTCATTTAATTCTCAGAGTGCTCTGAGGCAGGCATTACAACCCTGTGGAGTTACAGAAACTGAGATCAAAGGGGTTAAGTAACTTTCCCAAAATTACAGAGCTGGTTATGGTGGGGCTCAGATTCCAGCCCAAGTCTCTGTGGCTCCACAGTGGACCGAACTCTACATACAGAAAGGTGTTATCACCTCACCTGGATTTTTTTTTGAAATAGACTTTATTTTGCAGAGCAGTTATAGGTTCACAGCAAAATTAAGCAGAAAGTACAGAGATTTCCCATATACCCCCTGCCCTCCCCACATACACACTCTCCCCCACTAGATGTACCAGAGTGGTATAATTGTTACAACTGATGAACCTACATTGGCACATCATAATCCCCCAAAGTCCATCGTTTACATTAGGGTTCAATCTTGGTGTTATACATTCTGTGGGTTTAGACAAATGTATAATGACATGTATTCACCATTATAGTATCATACAGAGTAGTTTCACTGCCCTAAAAATACTCTGTGCTCCACCTTTTCATCCATCCCCACCCCCAACCCCTGGCAACCAATGATCTTTTTACTGTCTCCATAATTTTGCCTTTTCCAGAAGGTCATATAGGTGGAATCATATGGTATGTAGCCTTTTCAAATTGGCTCCTTCACTTAGTGATATGCACTTAAGGTTCCTCCATGTCTTTTCATGGGTTGATAGCTCATTTCTTTCTAGCGCTGAATCATATTCATTGTTTGGATGTACCACAGTTTATTTGGCCATTCACCTACTGAATCACCTGGCTTTTAAAACTTCACTCTGGTATGATTCCTATTGAAAATAGAGATAGCCACAGAGCTGGGCTTTCTCTTCTGGACCACATACCTACCTCCTCACTCCTGCCACCCATACAGCACCTGTCAGGGGGGCGTCCCTTTGGCATCCCTTGTCCATGCATCATTTCAGCAGCCTAGGAACCAGAGAAGCTCTAGGGCCAATCTGAGGAGAGCTCATAAACGCATATCTACCATAAAATCAGGACATTCCCTTTTTCCTTCATGCCAATGATACTCTCAGGTTTATCCTCCAGCCCCCAATACAGTCATTCCTAATATGTCTCACCAATTACCACACAGGGTTTCTCTTTTTTTATTCCTTCCATCCATCACCCATCCATCCATCCATCCACCCAGCAAGTATTTACTGAGGACCTACTATATGTTGGTCATAGATGATAAGTCTTTAGAGGACACTGAATGTGTTTGCGTAAGTTTGCTTGCAGAGTTATGCCCATGACAGCACCTCACTCCGTTAATAAATACTTTTTGATGGGTGGGGAGTGGTGTGTGTAGAGATAAAGACAAAGACAAACATCGTGAGTGACCAAAAATAAGCCTGTGAGACCATCTGAATTAACTGTGATTATCATCAAATTATAATATATTATATTTATTATATGTAACAAAATTATAGAAGTGTTATTATTATTATTATTATAAACAGAACCCTTATATAGCATGTTCTGTATTTTCAGACCTAAGTGCTTTTACATAAATGGTAAATCTACTTGTTGCCTGAAAAGGCTGTAATATAAATAGATTAAAGCAAGTTTCAAATAAATTCCTGGAGGGCAGATCTATAACAAGTTATTAAAGTGGAGTTAGGAACAACCAGGGTGCATTCCTAACCAATGAGAATGATGTCATGAAGGGTAAGTGCCGTAATCCAGCCCAAGCCATCTTAGTGGCTCCATCAGAGGCGGGCACTCAAGTGGACCAGAGCTCAGGGCTGACCCAGCAGGCCATTGCTAAGCAGTTGCTATGGAACTGGATTCACCCAGGGACCCCTGAGCTTGCACTATGCTGGGAGCCTGCCGAATGGCTTCTCCTCCACCTTTTCGCCTCTGTCAGGCAAGCAGCTATGTGTGTCTTCCTGTCTCTCCCCTCCACAAAAGGCACTCCTTTGCTTTGTGTCATCCAGTGAGTCACTGGCACGGTTGGGAACAGACCCAGGATTCCTGCTCCTTTCTTTGCTGGGGCTATTTGCTGGAGATCACAATCCTTCCACATTAGTGGCCAGTTACATTTATGGCTCTTAATGACATTTAATGGGGCTTCTGAGATAGGAAAATGATGGGAAGTGAAGGCAGGGAGATAAAAAATCAAAACCTGAAACGACACACAAGACCTTGATTACTGAAGTTTTAAAAATGGCAATCCCACTCATCCCGTCATTCCATTGGGAAATGGTTCCTAGGTCTGGGGAGGAGTAACCCCCTCACCTATCTTGAGACTGGATGAGAGAGAGAGGAAAAGGGAAGAAGGAATAGCGGGGGGTCCTCAGAAATTGTGCTTTCCGATTCTTTCCTACGATTTCATCTCTATATTTACTTCAAGTCACCATCTGTCTTCCTTTCTATCACGTATATGACACGTTACAGTTTACCATATACATTTACACCCACTGTTTACAGAGGTGTGATCCATGGAGCGAGCAGTGGGCTGGGAAGTCAAGCGACTAGGATTCTCTACCTAACAGGCCCTGTGACCCTGGGCATGTCACCTCACCTGGACTTTAGCCCCTTTGTTATAAAACGGGCTGGACTGGTTGGCCTGAAGGTACCATAGCGCTCTGAGCTTCCATGTCTGTGTGTCCAGCCCCAGTACAAGGGAAGAAACCGCTGTATTCACAGCTGAGGCTGCCTGTGGTATCCTCCCATCTCCTTCTGAGGCTGTGGTGGGAGCACACACAGTGTGCTTGGTCACAGGCTTCCGAAAACCTGGAGGTACGAGAGGAGCAGTGGGCAGTGACTCCCATTGATAAAGGGGTCAGGAGCATGACAGAGGGGACAGGAGCAGGGGACACAAAGGAGAGAGCTTTGTAGTGGCTGGAGACTGGGTATGAGGGAACAGGGGTCAGTTTAAATGCCTCCCAGGGGTGAGCTGGGGGAGGAAAGTGCCCCTGGTAGACCTGGCATGTGTAGCCTGAGGATGGGGCTGTGACACTCAGCCAAGGACCAATAATAACTGTCACAAGATAACAGTGACAGCAGCTCACCCACCTGGCTCCCTTTCCAGTACACAGGCACCATCATTTTGTTTAAAACTTCAAGAAGCTGTTGCTGTCTTTAATTTGTTTTTGGCATGAACATGCTGTTCCAATAGGAGATTTTCTGTTGCTTTATAGAGAGGGGATTATGATGGAGGAGAAACAAGGTATTTCTTCTGCACTGGGTAGAGCTGGCTGCTGGTGTGCCAGGTGACGACACTTTAAGCAGGATGCCCTCTCTAGTTTCAAGAGAGGAAACACAGAGTCAAGGGTGGGCCTGGCGGGGCTGGGACTAGGGTGAGGCGAGTGAGGTGCCTAGCTGCAAACGTCAAGGAGGCACTCCCCCTCAAGGTCCTCCAAGTGCAGCATGAGCACCTGAGGGTGAGCACCTTCCCCCCGCCTCACCTTTGTCCAGGCCTGAGGCCTGGCCCCTCCTTCTCTGGGGATCTTCTGGCGTGGACTGGGTTACCTGTTCAGAGGCACTGGGCTTGCATTAAAAGGAAAAAAGCTGGTTCTAGGGGACTCAGTACACCCAGAATAAGACATTTCACAGCCCACCTTTATCACCAAAAAACAGACTCGGAGTCCAACCCACCTGGGAATGACTTCCTGTTTTCCATTCTTTAGCTGTGTAACCTGGGGAAACAGACTTAGATTTCCTTCTTCATCAGTAAAATGGGGACAATTAATATCTACCTCAGAGAGGAGACAGGAGGATTAATCGAGGGGGACGGGGAGGATAATGAAAATACCTGCCACACAGTAAACCTCAGTAAGTTGTTGGTTCCCTGTGAGGCTGCAATAGTGCTGAACGATCAGGCGTTGGACAGGATTCCTGCCTCTGAAACTTCCTCGGGCAATATTAGCATAAGAGGAGGGTTTGGAGACCAGCTCAGGAACTTCACACCCAGCGTTAAATAACTTGTTTCAGGTCACGTGACTAATGACAGAGTCTGGACACAGATAAATGGGCCAAGCTGCCCCAAGTTGATGGAGTATATAAATAAACACTCAAACCACAGCCTTTCTCTACCAGCAGAGATACAAGTGTATGGAGAGGGGCTGTAAGTGAACGGGTAGCGAATCAAGGGCCACGGAAAACTTCCTGACTTTTGAGTCAGGATCAGATTCTGGTTAATCAAAGAGGGCTTCCAGGAGGAGGTTCTGAGGCTTCCAGGAGTTTCCAATGTGGCTCAGTTGCTCTCCTTTTCTCAACACCATCTCAACAGCCAACACTTTTCAGTACAAAGAGATATAAGATGGGCTCCGACTCCACGGGTGGGTGAGTGGAGTCGCCCCAGACTTTTCATGATCCAAAGCCTGGTCCCTTTAAGGCACCGAAACTCTGTGAACGTTCTACAGCAGGCCTCGCGGCCTCCCCGAGGCGCGCTTACGTCATCCTTCGGGGAAGCGGCTGACGTCAGCGCGTCCTCGGCGAGGGGGGGCGGGGTCGTGACTCACCCGGACCCCGCCCGGCGGGGCGCACGTGAGCGCACGCGGCGCTTGTTTCTAATTTTAGCTCCGGCTGCCTCCGGGGGGTCGGGCGAGGTAAAGGGGGTAGAGGGGTCTACGCGGGCTGGGGGCGCGGTTCTTCCGGTCCCTTGCTGCGCCGCCGTCGGTCCTCCTGGAGGACGAGGGCGCGGCCCGAGGGGTGCCCGCCGGCGACTAGAGGTGCTGGAGCGCGGGCGCTTCCCGGGGCAAGGCCCGAAGGGTCTCCCCCGCGTGCGAGCCCGGCCCCCAGCCCGGCGTGCCTCAGAGTGGGCGCTCCATAAACGAATCGGGCTTCCCTCCCGGATGGCGACTGGGACTTCCCAGAGAGGGCCAGCGTTCTGGAACGTTCCCTGGTGGCCGGGGTGCGGTGTGGGCTGAAGTCAGAACAGGAGCCGGGGTCGGCGAGGACTCGGGCAGGAGGAGTGGACAGAGCCCGTCGGGGCGTCAGCTCTTGGTCACTACCGTGGGGCGGTCTCCGGGCGAGAGGCCCCGGGCTTGGGGGGGGGGGTCGCCTGGGACCCCCACTGAGCCGCCGGGTCCGAATTCGGCGTGGCAGTGGGAGGGACGGTGCCCTCCGTGGTGTGAAGGGCGGTGGCCGTGCTAGGGTCAGGGCAAGCACAGAGGCCTGAAGGTCGCGGTTTGAGAAGCCAACGTTGTTGTCCCAAAGCCCAGACGCTTGGTCCCGAGCCGCGCGGGTACCAAGGTGACCTTCCAGGGACCAGATAAAAGCTTCGTTTTTAAAGAAAGCAGTGCCAGACCCCTTGTGAAATCGACACTCTCCGGTTCTTGGGGGGAGGAGGGGGCGGTTCTGGAAAGAAGCTCTGTCAGCATAAAGTGAACGGCACTTTTGACTGTGCAGAGTGGTCCGCCGTGGTACGGTGACCTGCATTCTGTTGGCGTGGCGACCTCAGGTTTCATAGGGTTTGTCTGCTAGGCAGCTTACAAAACAATGTTCTGGGAGCCTTTGATCTTGTTAGATGAAGGATGTTGGATGTTACAAAAGAGTGTTAAATACAGTGATAAACTGGGAATGTCAGTATGGGATCATTTTGTAATTATTGAGTCGTTGAAAATTTCTCTTTCAAGTTTTCGATGGCTATAACCTTAAAAAACCTTTTACTGTGCCCTTAAAAAGAAATGGAAAGTTCGTTGGGGAAGAAGGATAGCTTTGGGAATTATGACATGAATGGATGACAAATCTGTAAATCCAAACGTGTGATTTTCATTTGTTTTGCAAAAATAAACATTAGCCTTCGTAAATTGGAGATTTTTTCTGATGTAAATATGAAAACTTCGAGTGTTGAGGGCTTTATTCCCCATTCGGTAACCATCTTAACACAGTTTAAAAGGACTGACAGTTATAATCTAATAAATACATCCAGAAGTATGCCTACTGTTTTATATTGTTCATATAGCAACAGAAGTCTCTCTGTCCTAGTTTTGTACAGTTGCTACCACATTTTCCCCTAATGCCTGTTTGGGAGGGTCTTAAATTGAGCAGGTGTGAATGATGGTGAATCATGTTCTCAAAGTGAGCTAATTTCCCTTTGTGTGGGTTATTATTGTGTGTGTATGTATAATGTATAAGAACCTTAACATAAAAGCCCTCACATTCAGAAGTTAAGATTCTTAGTCCGGAAATTGAGTTTTTCCTTAAAAATTACTTTGCCTTAGAATGGGCCACCTGCATCCTGTAGGCAGCTCGTTAGCATTTCTGTAGTCTTCCTTGCCCCCAAGTTGTACCTGCTGTCTTTGAGCTACATCTGTTGTTCAGTTATTGTTCATTGTGTTGTGATTGTTTGGTTACAAGTTTGTTTCTCCCACTAGACTTAAAATCATGAGGCTATGGACTAGTGTCTATCTTTGTATCTCTAGCATCTAGAATAGTGCCAGCATGTAGTAAGAGCTACCGTTTTTGTAGTGTTTTGTTTTGTTGAATAAATGTGGGTTTCCCAAACCAGATTGCAGATTTTGGGAAGGGAGAGTTTTTCATAGTTCAGAGGATTGAGCTGCAGACCTATGTTGCTGCTGTAGGGGACACATTTTCCTCTTTTCCAAGCCCACCCTAACCCTTCCCACCACCTCCACCATCCATGAGGAGGGAACCAAGGAAAATAAAACCAACAACCAAACTCTAAATTATTTGGGACCTAAGTAGTGTGGCGTACTTTTAGATTCAAGATTGTTAGCACTTTTTCCAGCTCTCCAGGCCATAACTGTAATCTACACACTGATGTTAGTCAGCTTCTTGTCACAGAGGGGTTGGCTAGTCTTCACTTTTTTAAAAAATAGGAGTTTTAGAACTTCTGCTGCTTCTGTGGATAGTTAAGACTGGTTGCTAAATGAATGGTTACATTTGAAATAGAACTGGTTTCTGCACAATGATGCTTCATGCTTACCCTGAGAGAATATTTAAGGATATAAAATGAAGAGATCATACTTATTCTCTTCCTTAGATGTTACTGTTGTCAAAGAGAGGGAGATTTTTACAGTCAAGTTTTACTAGCCAGAACTCTTTGCAAACTGGAATTGATGTCACACTCAATTTTATGAAGGGCTAATGACAGCAAATTAAGTTGCTATCAGAGATTTAGTTTTGGAAATAAATATCTAATATGTTAGAGTGATTACTGATATTTTCAGTAATAACCTAGTACGTTTGCAAAATCTAAATCAAAAGGTCCACATTTTTATATTCACTATGTTTAATTAAGTAAGGAAAGAGTGATATGTATTTGGAATATTTTTAACAAGATTTTAATTAGGGTTTTAGAAAGCGTTTCAGCTGAACTTTTCCACACCAAGAATTACATGAGTGTGATGAAACAGAAGGTAGCTTTCATAAAAATAGGTGAGAAGACTAGAAGGAAAGAACAAGGGACACTTTGCTGTGGGCTAGGTTAAGCTTGGACAATTCCAACTGACTTTCGTATCATCCTCCTCATCAAGAATACATCTTTAGTCCCTGTTCCACTTGGATTTTTCTCTTTTTTTTATTTATTATTATTATTTTTTATCTTTTGATTTTTTGTTTATTGCAGTAACATTGGTTTATAACATTGTATAAATTTCAGGTGTACATGATTATACTTCTATTTCTGCATAGATTACATCATGTTCACCACCCAAATACTAATTACAACCCATCACCACACACATGTGCCGAATTATCCCTTTCGCCCTCCTCCCTCCCCCCTTCCCCTCTGGTAACCACCAATCCATCCTCTGTCTCTATGTGTTTGTTGTTGTTATCTACTACTTAATGAGAGAAATCATACGGTGTTTGACCTTCTCCCTCTGACATTTCACTTTGCATAATACCCTCAATGTCCATCCATGTTGTCACAAATGGCTGGATTTCATCGTTTCTTATGGCTGAGTAGTATTCTATTGTGTATACATACCACATCTTTATCCATTTGTCCCTTGATGGGCACTTAGGTTGCTTCCAAGTCTTGGCTATTGTGAATAACGCTGCAGTGAACATAGGAGTACATGTATCTTTATGCATTGGTGTTTTCAAGTTCTTTGGATAAATACCCGCCCGTGGAATAGCTGGATCATATGGTAGTTCTATCCTTAATTTTTTGTGGATTTTTCTCTTCTTACAAGTAAAAATAACAACTTTCATTTATTGAGCCATATGTGCAAGGCCCTGTACTCAATGCTTTATGAAATTATTTCAATTAATCCTTGCTACAATCTTGTGCTAAATGGATTATTATTTCCATTTTATAGGCTCAGGGAGGTTAAGGGGCTTGCTTAAGGTCACACAGCTGTTAAGAAACAGCCATGATTTTGAACCCAGTGTGTATTAGATTTTCCAGAGAAACAGAACCAATAGGATGTGTGTGTGTGTGTATATATATGTGTGTTACATGTATTATATATGTAAAGAGATTTATAATAATGAATTGGCTCACATGATTATGGAGGTTGACAAGTCCAAAGATCTGCAGGGTGAGTCGGCAAGTTGGAGACCCAGGAGAGCCAATGGTGTAGTTCCATTCTGAGTCCAAAGGCAGGAAAAAGCTGATGTCCCATTTTGAAGGCCATCAGGCAGGAAGGTTGAGTGCCTTCCTTTATTATGGAGGGCAGTCTACCTTACTCAGTCTACTAATTTAAATGTTAATCTCATCCAAAAACACTCTCACAGAAACACCCAGAATAATGTTTGGTCAAATATCTGGCCACCCTGTGGCCCAGTAAAGTTAACAAATCAGCCATTATACAAATCTATCTGATTTCCAAAGCTCATACTCTTAACATTATGTCACAATGTCTCCATCCCACTCCAGGATTCACAGAATAGTTTGATCTCTGGGTCTTTTTTCCCCTCATCTAGAATGTCTGTCAGATCTTCCACCCCAGTCATACTTGGCAAACATAATTAGTACAGGTGTTTAAATATCAGTAACCAACTCAGAATCCCCTTACCCAGTAGCACACACAGCACAGCCATTTCCTTCCATAGAATAACTTCCCAGCTTTCTAATTATACTCCAAGCTTTCTGATTTTCTATTCACATAACCCTTTGAACGAATTCCCTCTACACTAGTGAATCTTACCTGAATCCTTGTTCAGTCCCCTTCATTCACCTCTTTGAAAGGCACCAATCCCTGACTGTACAGCTCAGTGAGGCCATGAGCTTCCCTTCTCTCAGCTACCTCCTTAGGACCAAACTTTCTTATTGCTTACTCTTGACTCACTCCTGCCATCATGTCACTGTCAATTTAGGACTCTAACCTCTCCACCCCCTCCCCCCAACAGAAGCAACTGTCATTGCAGGGACTTCACTTGGTTGAGTTCAGACTTATGAATTCACGTCCCAGAGATTGCTTATTTAATTAAAAATACTTCCATGATCTATGTACTTTTTTTTTGCTGAGGAAGATTGGCCTGAGCTAACATCTGTGCCAATCTTCCTCTATTTTGTATGTGGGTTGCCGCCACAGCATGGTCTCCCTACACCTATGAGTGGTGTAGGTCTGCACCTGGGCTCTGAACCCGGGCCACCGAAGTGGAGCATGCTGAACTTAACCACTAGGCCATGGGGCTGGCCCCTGATCTATGTACTTTTAATAAATATTGTTTATTAAGTTTATTGATTACAATTTTGGAAAGAATAAAAATTCTTAGAGTAATTTTTAGCTAGTTGGCACTAATCTGTTACATCCTAGGACACCTTATATAGACATCATGAATGTCATAATACTGCTCTCCAGCATTTTTTCGTGAAGAGCCTTGGAGCATTTGCTCTTAGAAAGCTAGTTGTCTTTTAATATCCAGAACATAGTCATTCCCAACAAAGTGCTGCTTTGAATACTTTCTCTCCCTCTCAGATTTTTTATGCTATTTTTCCTTGTTATATTATTAAAGATAAAAACATTAGAGAATATTTTAAACAGCGCACGGACAAAATCAGATTTTATTGACATTCAAAAGATAGGCTGAGCCTGTCTAGCTTCTAAAAAATGAAAATTTTGGGACCAGCCTGGTGGCGCAGCGGTTAAGTGCGTGTGCTCCACTTTGATGGCCCAGGGTTTGCAGGTTCGGATCCTGGGCGTGCACCGACGCCCTGCTTATCAAGCCATGCTGTGGTGGCATCCCATATAAAGTAGAAGAAGATGGGCACAGATGTTAGCCCAGGGCCAATCTTCCTCAGCAAGAAAGAGGAGGATTGGCATCAGATGTTAGCTCAGGGCTGATCTTCCTCACCAAAAAAAAAAAAAAATTTTAAGTTGGATTTTGGAAGATGGGCTTCACTGGGAGAGGGCAATTGTTATAGATAGTTGTCACGTATTAAATTACATAAGGTATTTTCCATTCTTCTAAAAGTTAATTTACCAAGCACAATACACTAAAAGGATATTTTTGTCAAAGCTACAAATAAAAATGCACTCCTCTTCTAGATTAGGAAACAAAAATAATCAGGTGTGTATTATTTGATTGACAAATGACATCTGCCACAATTATGTTGCTTTAATCAAGGTGAGAGAGCTCTTCCTGGTTTATAGTATATTCATTCCAGGGTTTCCAGGGCTTGGAATTACATTACCCCTCCTAATTTAAATTGACTTGGTTGGCTTTGGTATGTCTGGTAGAATAAAAACAGAGGGCCAGCCTCTGTTTGGGGCCAGCCCTGTGGTATAGCAGTTAAGTGCTCGCCCTCTGCTGCTGGCAGCCCGGGTTCGGATCCCGGGCGTGCACTGACGCACCACTTGTCAGGCCATGCTGTGGCGGCATCCCACATAAAGTGGAGGAAGATGGGCCTGGATGTTAGCTCTGGGCCAGTCTTCCTCAGCAAAAAGAGGAGGATTGGCATGGATGTTAGCTCGGGGCTGATCTTCCTCACCAAAAAAAAACAAAACAAAAACAAAAACAGAGGGTATTAAAGTAGGGATCCTAAAAATATAAATTGAGAACTTTAGTGTATAATTTGCTTCTGTCTTTACAAACCAGATTCCAGTGGCAGGGAAGTGACTTTGGTCTCTAAAACAATTATGAGGCTGTGTCCTTTGTAAATGGTTTCTTGAGTGTATTTGCTTCTATTGAAACCTTAATAAAGAGAAGACATCACTGCATTACCCTTTCCTGTGTCCTTCATGGTATTTTTTTTTTAACCAAATTTTGTTGAAAACATTCTTTTCTTTTGCCTTTTTTAGAAGCTGAGCTACAATTATGTTTTAGGATGCATACATCTATCAAGTAATGAAGCTAGCTGGTAATTCTTCGTCCTTAACTATTAAATGTAGAGTTTTTGGCATATTATATAAGCAGCATTTATGGTTAATATTCTGAAAGTTTAAATCATTGAAATTTTTAACAGACTTAGATTGCTATTTTCTGTTTGAGGTATTTTTTAAAAATAGAGCATTGTGTGGGAACATCATGGTTATAATAAAGGTGTTTTTTTTGTGTGTGTGTGAGGAAGATCAGCCCCGAGCTAACATCCTCTGGCAATCCTCCTCTTTTTGCTGAGGAAGACTGGCCCTGGGCTAACATTCGTGCCCATCTTCCTCCACTTTATGTGGGACGCTGCCACAGCATGGTCTGACAAGTGGTGCATCGGTGTGTGCCCGGGATCCGAACCTGGGCCACCAGCAGTGGAGCGCGTGCACTTAACTGCTACACCATGGGGCTGGCCCATATAATAAAGGTTTTGCAATCCAGATTTTTATTATTTTTTTTATTATTTATTTATTTTTTACTGAGGAAGATTAGCCCTGGACCAACATCTGTGCCAGTCTTCCTCCACTTTATATGTGGGCCACTGCCACAGCATGACTGATAAGTGGTGTAGGTCTGTACCTGGGACCTGAACCCGAGAACCTGGGCTGCTAAAGCAGAGCATGCCGAACTTAACCACTACGCTGCGGGGCTGGACCCCCAAATTTTTATTTTTAAAAAGTATAACATTTTTCTTATATCCTATTTTAAAATCTTGATATATTGAATTATATAATATCAAATTGGATTATTAGCATTATAAATACAAAAAATTACTAGACCTCCTTCACTCATGAAAATAAAAGTTTGTTTTGCACCTAAATTGTAAATTGAATTTAAAACTTTATTTTATTTTTAGCTGGGTAGTTAAGATTTCAGAAGGAAGAGTGGCAATGGAGAAGAGAAAGGAGACATGATGGGAAATTGAGAAAGGGAGACATGTTTACTGAATTAATGATTGAATGAATGATGAATGAATGAGTAAGCTGAGAGCAAAACAACAAAAAAGAGCTAGTAAGGTTGTCCTATAAAAGCCATCTTGTCATATGACATCTATAATAAAAAAAGAGTAAGGAAGTTATACAAACAACATAGAAAAAATAGGTATCTAAATATTTTGGAAAAAATAAAGCAAGAATGCAAAAGCTTACTTTTATACAGTGTTAATTTGTATATATTACATAGTATTAAGGTTCAGAAAACAGTGGTTCAAAGTTGTTTGCCTGCTCTATTTTCCTAAAGTTATTAAATAATTTCACCAGTACAATGGTATTAGAGCAGCTAAATTTTGAACATAATGAAACAAAGAATGCCACTTTTCTTGACTAATAAGCACAGAAAAAAGAATTTTCTCTGCCCAACCAAACTATCAACTGTGAGGGTAGAATAAAGACAATTTCAAATAAGCAGGATCTCAAAAAAGTTACATCTCATTTACCCTTGTCTTAGGAAACTACTGGAGGGGGTGTTCTATCGAAATGAGGGAATAAACCAAGAGGAATGCGTGAGACGCTGGAACCAGGGACTCCAACTAGTGTTACAAAGGAATAGAGGTAACTTTCAAAACTATTTGTAATATGGAAGATTGAAATAAAAAGTTGAAGGAGACAGGTGAAAGAAAATTAGGTAAGAAAACAGAAGCTAGAGATAAGAGGGAGAGAAATGCATGCTCTGAACCTATACAGTTTCAAGAATGGAATGGCAAATCTGGCCCTTAAGTTTCCTAACATCCAAAGCAAAAGCGAAAATATGCTTAGTCGCAAGTTGCATAATATCCTTAAGATAAAAACAAAGCAGTTGTTTCCCAAAAGACCTATTGTGGATCTTATGTAAAGGATCCTTTGCCCTACGATAGACTGTCGTGTTTCGTGTGACTGTTTCTTCTAGTATATCTAATGGCCCCAAAGCATTATTAAGTAAAGGCAATTCTGTAAGGACTAAATAGTGCTCTCTGAGGTGAACCAAGGGCATGTGAATGGCTGGTCAGGTTATTGTTAATTGGCACCCCATTAAACTTCATGGGAGGCTGGAAGGAGGTTGGCAGGTTAGTCTCTCTGTTATCTTGCACAGTGTAGCTCTTGCCCCACACTAGCCCCCTTGAAGCAAAACAAGAGCTCTTAACTGTAGTTGCCCTCCTTAAGAGGCAGTTTAGCACCTGTCTGGTGACTGGAGCATGTTCACTGTGATCTCATGTCCCACCCCAAATGGTTAATCAGAGTATGCCTTCCTATCTTAATTTCTGAAAGAAATTTTGGTAAATACAATTTTCTCAAGTGCATTTACATTTTCAATAATGTTTTAGTACCTTTAGACTGGATTTTCTGGCCCTCCCATTAAACTAACTCTGAATACAATCTAGACAGAAAACTTTCTGATGGACTTGTTCCTTCGACAAGTAACGTTCAGCTATCATGTTCTTCAAAGCAATCTTCCATAAACATTTATTTCCTACGACACGGCTTATATTAATAAGTAGGATTGCATTTAGTTAGAAGCTATAAAGTTTGGACAACTAACTAGAATTTTCAGTTATCTATTGCATATCAACCCCTAGCCATTGATGAGAATTTACTATATCACTTGTATAGTTCTCAATTTTGAAAAATTCAACCCCTTATCCTTTCATTTGATATACTTTCCATTAATAATAATTCTTAATAGAAAATCAAGTATAATTTTTATAACTCATTGAGTATTTGCCATTGTTTAACCTATACTTCACTAGTTATTGAATAAGCATTGGAAATAAATATATTTTTTAAGTAACTTTTGAACTAATCTTTAGAAAGATAAATTTTATGCTATTATCTGTTTTGTGTCTATTAGAATATGTTTATTTACACATAAATAGCTCAGTCTCTCGGACATCCTAAAATTCAAAACCTTAAAATAGACTTCTATTTGTATAGGATTATTAACTGCTGTTTTCTAGGAAGCTTATTAATAGTGTTATTTTTCAAAGTAATAAACTGCCTGCTTGCCACTTACAGGCCAGTTATTAGTATGCTAGCATTTTTGTTGTCTTCAATAGAATCTAGAAATGCTTGAAATTGAAGACTAAAAAATGCCATGGTAACCTAATAGAGTCCATAGTAACACTTCTATTCTGACCTGAACTAAATTACTATATATTAAATGAAGATTCAATGAAATAATATTTCTTCACAGTTAAATCTACATTTAACATTACTGTAAAAAATATCTAACCAGTTCTTTTATTTTTCATGACTACTGTTAATTTTTAGCTCTTTTTAAAAACAGAAAAATGTTTTTCTCAAACTTGGTATGATTTATAAACAATGATCTCTGAAGTACTGAAAGATGTATTCCTGTAAATAGAACTGTCATAAATTTAGAAATAATTTTTTTAAGTGAGACTATATCACAGATGTTGAAGAGTTTTTTATTTGTAGTCCCACCCCCCCACAAATTTAGCAAACTATTTTGACTTTAGAAAAATCTATATAAGAAGAACGTAATTTTCAGGAGTAAAGTCAGCAAGATGGTGAAATAGGAAGCCCTGGACCCTCCTTGCCCCACAAACATGCCAATTAAGCTACATTTCATAGACAGATTCCCTTTGTGAGAAATCCAGAAACTAATTGAAAGGCTCTTGCACTCCACGCAAATGAGAAACCAGAGTCACTGAAGCCAGTAAGGAGATTCAGGACACCCTGTCACCAGAGATCTTGCCCCTGGCACAGCACTGTACAATCAGGAAGAGACTCCCTAGCTCCCAGCTTCTCCCAGGAGAGGGAAGGGGTTGGTTCACACATGCAATGCCCCAGCTTTTCCAGGGAAGCTCCCCAGAGGACTGGCTTCAGTCTTGCAAGTCTTGGAACTCTGATGGGTCTGGCAGAATCTAGCTACCTGAGAGAGAATGGAGACAGTGGCGTGCACTGGTAGGTGCCATAAATCCTCCCTCGCTGCTAAGCACATAGTGGATGAAATTCCCAGCTCTCAGCCACCCCAGCTCTCAGCCACCCCTTGGGGAGGAAAAGAGTTGATCCATATGTTCAGAGCCCCAACTTCTCCAGGGCTCCCTAAAGAACTAGCACCTTGGAGCTCTGATGGGTCTCATGCAGTCTAGCTGCCTGGGGGAGAATAGAGACAGTGGTTTGGATGGGTAAATGCTATAACTCTCTGCCCCCCAGATCAGAACAGAGTGCATGGACTAAAATCACAACTTCCAGCTTCTCCCTGGGGAGGGAAAGAGTTGGTAGAGGGCCCCAGAATCTCTGGCTTGGCTGATTGGTGGGGATCTCCTCTTGTACGAGGCCTGTCTGTGAAAACTGAGAGGATTACCTGCTTTGTCTGGTGCACAGACACCAACACAGAGAGTCAAGGAAAATGAAGAATCAGGCATATGTGTTCCGAACAAAGGAACAACATAAATCTCCAGAAACCAACCCTAGTGAGGTGGAATTATATCATTTACCTGATAGATAATTCAAAACAACTGTCATAAAGATGCTCACTGACATCAAAAGAAAAATGCTTGAACAAAGTAAGAATTTCATCAGACAGATAGAAAATATAAAAAAGTACCAAACAGAAATGATAGAGCTGAAGAATGCAATAATTGAACTGAAAAACTCACTAGAGGTGTTCAACAGCACACTAGATCAAGCAGAAGAAAGAATCAACAAACTTGAAGAAGTCATTGGGAATAATTCAGTTAGAGGAGCAAAAAGAAAAAGAATGAAAGAAAGTGAAGAAAACCTAAGGGACTTATAAGACCATCAAGTAGACCAATATGCACATTATGGGAGTCCCAGAAGGAGAAGAGAGTGAGAAAGGACCAGAAAGCTTATTCAAAGAAATAATGGCTGAAAACTTCCCAAATCTGGGGAAGGAAATGAACATCCAAATCCAAGAAGCCCCCAAAACACCAAACAAGATGAACCCAAAGAAATCCACACTGAGACGCATTATAATCAAATTGTCAAAAGTCAAAAACAAAGAGATACTTTTGAAAACAGCAAGAGAAAGGCAACTTATCATGTACAAGAGAACCCCCATAAGACTGTCAGTGGATTTTTCAGCAGAAACTTTGCAGGCTGGAAGGGAATAAGATGATATATTCAAAGTGCTGAAAGAAAAAAAAAAGCCGACCAAGAATACTCTACTCAACAAAACTGCCTTTCAAAATAAAGGAGAGAGGAAAACTTTTCTAGACAAACAAAAGCTGAGGCAATTCATCACCACTAGACCTGCAAGAAATTCTAAAGAGAATTCTTAAGTTTAAATGCTAGGATGCTAAATAGCAACATGATAGCATAAGAAAGTATGAAACTCATTAGTAAAGGTAAATATATAGACAAATATACAATACTGTATTACTGTCATGGTGGTGGGTAAATCACTTTTAATTCTAGATATAAGCTAAAACACAAAAGTGTTAAAAATAACTATAACTAAAAATATGTTAAAAGAGACACAATATGAATAGATATAAATTGTGACAACAACAATATAAACTGTGGAGAGGAGAAGTTAAAGTGTAGAGTTTTTTATGTAATTTAACTTAAGTTGTTATGAGCTTAAAATAGACTGTTATAACTATAAGATATTTTATGTAAGCTGCAAGGTAACCACACATACAGAAAATACCTATAGAAGTTACACAAAAGAAAAAGAGAAAGCTATCAAAGCATATCAATACAAAAAGATCAACAAAGCATCTAGGAAGACAGCAAGAGAGAAAAAGATAAAAGAACCACAAGACTAACAGAAAACAACTAACAAAATGGCAATAGTAAATCCTTCC